TGTAGCCCAGACGGTACAGTGGTTAAAGAAGCCTACTACGGTACTGAAGGGCCCGGGTTCGGATCCCGGAGAAGACATGGAAATGTATAGTATCGATGCGGCACTCCAAATGTGTGGCGAGTCGAAAGTCCTCTCGTGTGGATTAGTGGAAGGGGAGAGGGGTGGGAGACCCGGATCATCCTCCCCAGTGGTGCTCTCCTAAAAAATTTGGAGCGGAAAATAGAAGTCCAACCTCTCTTCGGAGTGTGCATTGTTGGCAACCATTGTTGAAAGATATATGGACAAGACAACAACAAGAGCTAGTTAAATTTCACATTAATAAACTGTTCATTCTTGTTTTGCGTGCACATGAAATACTCTTTAAATAGAATCAATTTATCTTATTTACAAAGAATATATTTCATTTATTCGAGTATAACTTTCAATGTTAACAATAGCTACAATCAGTTCATTCACATGATATATTTTGAATCTTACACTTTCAAAATTAAAAGTATGCAAGCATTGAGATAAAATACTACATCCATTGTAACACATCCAGTTATTCTCAGCTTAATAAAAATTATATTCTTGAATTCTCTTAATTCGCAGGTGTTAATAAATGCATAATTTTCGAGGTTAATTGTAGTTTGAGTCATTTTCTCGATATAAAGAACGATAACATACCACGAACATTAATCAGAATATCAGTGCGTGATAAGTTTCGCGAAAATAAAATGTATGACGATTAAAAAAACTTAGTGAAATCACTACGGGATTTTCTTTTAACGACAGCAGTATTTATACGCCATACATTTATAACTGTCAAACAAATGCAAAATAAAACGTAAACAACAACATGCGCTCATATGTACAGTGTCTAAGGTTCAGCGTCACAAGAGCAAGAGACTCATTGGTCCAGTTTTTGAAACCCCTCCCTCAGTCGCGGTATTGATGTGCACTTATGAATTATGAGCACTAGGCATTCAAGAAGATGCAAAATTTTTGGAAATTAGAGGGCTATAGAACGGTAGAAAGCAGGAGCCACAAAGCTATCGAAAAGCCGCAACAGGGTATCGAAATGCATATTTAATAAATAAAGGTAACACACATGACGTTAAAAAAACGCTCCTTTGGGACGTAATTTAAAATCTGGAACCTTTCAGATTCTTTTTATTTATTTATATTTTATTACTGCAGAAGGAATCATTTCCTTTCAATGAAGAAACGCGAAAGTAGTAGTTTGCTAGACAATGAGATCTTGCTGGGTTCAATTATATTGTTACGTTTCTTTTATTCTTCTGACACCAGTTGTTATGTTATTTTCTTCCTTCACGTTCGTACGGGGTTCGTGGGGATTTGGAGTGAATAACGACGACACTTGATGAAGTATCGAAACACCTTTAGCCAGTATTGTCAGGACAGCTCCAAAACCACGTTTTAAACAGTCGTCCAGAACTACTAAATAACTGACACGATCACGACACAGCCACAGCCTTCAGGTTATCAGGCTATCACGGTGGAGACAGCTTCCTGCAAAGCATCCGACTCTGCTTTCCGGAGTACAGCTCTCGATTCTCCTTGTCGTTCTTGGAGAGTACGTGGAGTCTCACTAATAAGGACAATTCTCGCTAATAAAGACGAGTCTCGCTAATAAGGACGGTCCACTCTACAACTCGCGATGCACTCGACGACACACGAGCACAGCTCTCGACTCTTCGGTTCAGTCGTTCTCGGAGCTCAACACGCTCTCTCGACGATGCACTAACCGCGATACACTAACAGACTCCTTCGGTGCACTCGACGAACCACTCGGCACTCGCTGCCGGCTGTCAACTCGATCGACTCCGCAGGGATTGACTCGCTAGATTAGACACCAACTCGATACTGATTCTCTCTCACTCTATGCGAGGCACACACACGCTAACTGACTGCGAACCAGCAGGGTTTATATAGCTTTTGACTGGTGTTCGAGAACATTCTGGGCTAAACCTGTAAGAATTCGTTCCAGAAGGTTTTCCAACCGTCCATGGTATATCGCCAATTTCGTCGCCAAATGGGCGATTTCTCGACAAATATGGCAACCCTGCCTTCCCTTGCCATTTATGGCAATCCTAAAAGTGCTTTGCGGGGAAGCCATCTTACCGCGCCTGTACATTTCGAAACAATATGTAGATCCAAAACACCGAATTTTGTTGGATGACGAACAAATTAAAAAGGAAAAGAAGCCGTTTATGAACTTTCACTAAGAATGGAATTATTCTCAGAACAGCTGGAGTATTCAAATCAGGACAGTCAAACTGCAAACATTGCAACTGAGTCTCTATCATCCCCTTCCAATGACGAATTAGATTTTGAGAACTATTTGGATAAAATTGAAAAGGCAAAGCGAATGAAAATAAAGAACCAAGATCCTTTAGCTGTAAAAATGAAAAAACACAAACAAAATTTCTACGCAGTCCTTAAAGAAATAGTGAAATATGATCGCTCTTGCTTGCTTGCTGCGTATCTTGAGCTAATTTTACCATCCTTAGTTCTTTACAAACATTTTCTAATCATTTTCTTTACTCTTTATTTTACCATTTATTTCTCTGTAGAAAGATCAAGGCCAGAAAATACTAATCACCCACTGCAAACAGAAAAGAAAGAAAAGGAAATCGGTGAAAGTAATTGGCATTAAGCTTTAATTAAAAAAAATATTATTCCTACTCTATATAATTAAAGAGGTAGGGCTAAAGATCATTGCTTCGGAAATACTATTTATTTCTCTTGGTATTAAATTTCTTATCATGGAATGCTATTTGAATAATTAAATATGCCTTATTAGTTATTAATTTTATCAAGCGAAACTTCTAATTTATTCTTTAAAAATGTATTTGATAAAGGAAAAGTACGTTATTAGCCCAAAGGACGCCAGCGCATAAGGGCTATTAATTTCGTTTTGGCATTTTGCGTCAAATCACTATAAACGACGTATCAGTTTTCAGATTGTTGCCACCAAATATTATAGCCCTGTATTATACACTCATGTCCATAAATTAAGGAAAAAAGAGTTATAGTTTTGATATTTAAAAAAATTAGCGATTTTTTCTCCCTGGAGCAAATTACAAAAAAAAAAAAAAAAAAAACCCTATTTACAAAAAAAATATTACTGCTGGTATGATTGTTAGAACATAAAAGCAATGCTCTCCGAAGTTCCGGTAGACATGTAGCAGGAGGTTGACGGGCTGCAACTCGTCGGCCAAGCATGTCCCACACGTGCTCTACTGGATTCAAGTCCGGTGAGAATGCTGGCCAGTCCATACGAGTGATATCCTCCGATTGAAGGCATTCGCTTACGATGTTTGCAGGGTGAAAACGGGCGTTGTCATCCATAAACACAAATTGTGCGCCCATGGCTCCCCGAAACAAACGTACATTTTGTTCCAGAATGACGTCCCGATAGATTTGGCTTGTCATCGTTCCAATTTGAACATGCAGGTCAGTTCTGGAACCCAGAATAATTCCACCCCAAACGAGCACTTCTGCACCACCGTAACGGTGTCGTTCAATGATGTTTTCTTGGTGGTAACGGGTACCTGGAGCTCTTCATATGAAAGTCCGGCGAGAATCAGACTGCAAGCTAAACCTGGACTCGTCGGAAAACATCACACAAGCCCACTGTTGCGGTGTCCACAATGCATGCTCTCTACTCCAGGTTAACCGCAGGCGACAGTGAGTTGCAGTAAGTGGAAGGCATCTAACAGGTCTACGAGCATATAGACCAATCTGCCCTAAGCGTCTGTACACGGTCTGCCTTGAAATTGTCGTACCAATGGCTGAAGAGAGCTGACGAGACAGGTCTGAGGCTGTGCTCCGCCTGTTTGTTTTGGCAGTAACTGCCAAATACCGGTCCTCATTCGGCGTTGTACCGCTGGGGCGACCTGTGCTGTAACGTCTACTCACATTACCATCATCTTGGAATCGTTGCCAAAGCCTGGAGATGACACTCTGGGCAATTCCAAGTTCGTCTGATACGTCCAGTTGGGTACGCCCACATTCCAGACGGCCGATAGTTCTACCACGTAAAAAATCATCCAAATGCGTCCTTTGTGTCATAATTATTCGGTTATTGCACTGAAGTGCTTATAATGCGCCTGCGAACAATTTTACTTCTTTGCCTGTATTTCTTATATATCACTCTCTTACACTCTCGTCATTGTGATGTACCATCGGTTTCATCTGGTTACTTCCTGAAATTTGCATATGATTCTTGAAGATGTGTGTAGTGATTTTACAGATGATATATTTATTTTAGAGTTCGATTTCCGCGTGACTCCGAATTATCCTTAATTTATGGACATGAGTGTATTTAAAGAAATTAAATAATGTTTCTCGCACTGTGATAAAACAACGGAACCTGGAGCCATCAAATTTTCAATAACGTAATCCTCCTCCACGAATATGGACCATTGAAATTTATTTTATTATCTATTTCAGCTTTAACGAATTTTTGATTAATAAACTTAACTATTTCAAAGCGAGCAGTTATGCTCTTTTTAAATTATTTTGTGATACTGCTGTTGAATTGAATTTTATGGTTTAAGTGCGAAGAACATGTTATTTAATAAATAGAGGTAACACATAAAACGTTATAAAAAAACGCCCCTTTGGGTGTAATTTAAAATCTAGAAACTTTGAGACTTTTTTTCAAAAACTTTCTTAATATTAAAGTTTACATTTTTCTGTACTTAAATTTATATTTAAAGATTATGCATATATAGTGGCAAAAAATAATTAAAATTTTTTTTTTTTTTAATCTTTAAGTTTAGCGTATATTTATGGAAGAATATATGCTCTTAACAATTTAGGCAAAAATTTCTGGTTAAGTTCGTACCTAACAGATGGCGCCACTTTCTGAGAGTTGCAAACAATGGTAGGACTGAAAATTCGAATTAGTATTTTCATTATGTAGAAAGAAAGTATTACCTAGGTAAATTTACCTCCGTACATATTTATCCTTGTACTTATAGAAAACGATTTCATGCTATATAGGAAAAACCTCGCGTAAATATAAAAGTTTATATAAAAACTTGAAAAGGTTTTGTGTCAAATTTATTGAGAAACGTAGTGAATCAATATTCTGACATGCTTTTTTGTTACTTGATAACTTTTGACTGAAATTATAGATAATCAACAACCTTCACGAGATTACTTTTATCAGCTTCAGTTATCGACGGATATGCTTGTTAAAGGAAGCTTGAGTTTGTTTGGGGTAAGATCAAAGCGTACCATTCCCATGGCGACCGGCAAAGAGGTAACACGTCTGCTATATGTTATAGCATCACTTACACTGGTTTGTAATGGAGTGGCCAGGAATATAGACTTAAGTCACACTATGAAAGATATCCCCGGTTGCCAATGTGATAACAGAAACATAGATTTCAATGTAACCGTCCTGGACAAAGTTATGATCGGCTGCCGGAAATGTTACCTGTTCACGTACGATTTCAAGGAAAGACAAGTAAGTGTTTTCATTTCCCATTTTATGCAGAATCGTCCTTTTTAGTCTTTTGAAATAAATATGTATTTTAAGTGCATACGCAGTGAAACTTTTTACAGTATTTTAGTAGCAGTTTCTGATATTTAGTTAATGAACGAATTCTTATATTTAAAATTCTAATTTTATCATTCATTTGTGTAAAGTATTTCTGCTTCAATTACTTGCACGTTTGACAGCTTCACAACGTACCGTAACCTTAAAGAAAAACTCGCGTGACGCGGAGGCGGAAGGATACAAGTTACAGAGCGCATGTGCATCATAAGATCTCTCTAAAAATCTAATACTTTAAAACCGTTTATTCTGTCGCTGTTATATTTTTAATAGATATAGTCTCATACCAATGTTGTCTAAATAAGACTATCAAAACCTTTTTCTTAGTTGATGTTAAGTACGTTGTCAATATGTCATTCAAATGACAGGGAAGCCTCATTTAATTTTTTTTTTTTTTTTCCTTTCAAATTAGCGATACTTTTCTTTCTATTATAACATTTGAGGATTATTTCAGAATTTTTCTTTTCTGTTTGTACTTATTTTTAATATCTACCCTCTTCTTTTTTTTTCCTCTCTCAAATCGTCATCAGTTTTTTAAAATGCTGTACAAATTATTTTTCTTAAATACTAAATAAAAATTCATCTTTAATTCTTTCTCGGTATTTCAACTGTAAAGAAAAGATATTAATGTACTTTTGAATCTGCTGTTTGATGTAGCATTTTATCGATTAGAATAGGCAAAGCTTGGTTATGGCAAAGCATTAGAGAGATGCTTTCATGAAAGCCTTCCTAAGGGCTTTCTAATTTCTTAACCTTTATTTGTTATGCTTATTATACAAATAAGTGCAGAAAGCAGTTCGTGAAAATATAAATATCTTGTAAGGTAGTATACCTAACAAAAATACGTATTTATATCTTTTATTCAATTTTATTTTTTAATTTCATGATGAGGATGGAAGAATGAGTCACTTGCCTCAAGTCAATGGCTAGAATGAGCGCCAAATTAGCTCCGAAATTTAAGAAATGCATTAAAAAAACAAATAATGTTAATCATGTGTTAAAAAACAACATATGATTGTTAACTTTCATTTTTGAAACGTATCGGGAAGTAAGATTGTAAGGCATTTTCTCCCTCCTTTCCGCATGCATTTGTGAGTATTGCGTACAAGGAAGTCATGTGCTGTACAAATCATTTTTTTTTTTTTAATGTTTAAATAAGATGCAGATATTCTGCTACCATTAAAACAAATTTAGCGACAATTTCCAGTAATTTTAGAATGTTATCATTGCCACTACCAAATAGATTCTTCAAAGAATTCCTAAAACCCGGTTAGTTGACAAATGTATTTTATATTTTGTCTATCCTATAACAAAATTTCCCAAATACTTTTTTTTATATCATAATTTTAACAGCATGGAATCTTTCGCATAGTCAGCATCGTATATTTAAATTTCCATGCGAACTTGTTTCTTGTTTGTCATAGCCGACATTGGTGCTGCTTGCTAAAAGCAGTCGATACAAAACACGTTTCTGGGAATGTTAAACTCGCGGATGTAAAACATCGATATCGATATATAAAAGAATATAACAATATCGATGAACTAAGAATGCTATAACAAAAACTATAAGTAAACTATAATTCTATATGAAAACTGATACTATAATAAACTGAGAATGCTATTACGAAATTATATTAAAAAGCAATTCAGCCAGCAGGCAAGAAAGCTTATTATATTAAATATTATTTTATTTAATGAATATTAATATTTTGGTGCTTAAAACTAAAACATTCGTTTTGGTCCTTCTCGGCAAAAAGACAGAAGAACTGCAGAAAGACTTAACTCACTATTCTTCTAAGTTTCAAATGTAAACAAATTAAAAAAAAAAAAAAAAAGGCTTAGCCGCAATTAAACAACTGTTAAATTAGGGGATAATTCTACAACTATTGCATGCAGATTAATTAAAGGCATAAAAACCTTAACCGGAAGATAAGAAAAACATAATTCAATCATTTTTAAAGCAAAAAAAAAAAGGCGCAGTTTATCAACATATAAGAATAAAAAATTGAGCTCAATGAGCCGAGTAACAGCGTGGGTATGTAAACATATATATATATTTATATATACACTTTTGGTGTGGCTGATTGCTACCATAAAGGAAGGTACACAACTACATTCTATAACAGTCCTATATACAAAATTTCAACGTTCTCAGGCAACTCGTTTTATCAGTTATGCGAGATACGTACGTACGTACTGACGCCACAAAAATGTCTCTTCTGAATCCATTTTAAATCAGTTTTATAATTCGTTTGGAGAAAAAGAGTCCTTTATTCTGTCCTTACGTGCAGATGTCACGCAGAAACATTGTTAAATTGCATTCGATAGCGGTCAAAATGGGTATTTTCGTTAAAATATGATACCCGGAATTTTTCGTGATTACAATACTTCCTTTACTTCGTACAAGAAAGTAATTATAACTAAATTTAAAATTAGTTGTTGTTTGACTAATTTTATGTTTCACTTGCCATGTTTCTTTTCCTTTTTTATAGGCAAATTATGTCAAAATTGCGGAAACATTCTTTTTATATCGTATAATTTTAGGCTTAAATGATAAAGATAGCATACTAAAAAACACACATAAAGTCATACTAATAACCATCATATTATATATTTCAATGGACTTAACAATCTTAATAGTATTCTTTTTATATGCTGATAATGCGGTATTACTTTAGTATGTGAATTATACTTGAAAAAAATATGATCATCTATAAGTTCACGATTATGTTTTTATTGAAGGAAGAAAGTACTATATTCAGCTTTTATTTCTACGCCAGTTTCTTTTATTATTTCATCCATAAAAAGCAAACCCTGAGAATTAATGCACCTAAGCCGCATCATAACTCGCTTAATAACTCATTTCAATTTATTTTTCAACATTAAAGGTATAACTATGTGGTAGAATTATGCGGTAGAAATGGCAAAGGCATTTGTCAACCCCAAACGAGAAACCATTTCGAATTCTTCTTCTACTTCTTGAAGCTTGGTTTTCCTTTGGCGCCTCACCCTCCGATTCAAACTATTAATTTCAAAATGGCATTTTGCGTTGATTCACTTTTCAAACTGCTGCCCCCAAATATTATCGCCATGTATTGTGTTTAAAGAAAATATATAATGAAGAATCTGCACGAACGCATGAATGTTTCTCTCACTGTAAAAAACAACGGTATCTAGAGCCACCCAGTTTTGACTAACGTAGTCCTCCAACCGAACATGGGCACATAGAAGCCCGAATTTTAATTTCGAATTTGTTTTATTACCTATTCAAAATTTTGTAAAATTTTAGCTAATTTTTGATTAACAGACTCAACGATTTCAAAGCGAGCAATGGCAACACTCTAAGAAAAAGAATTGTTTACCTGCAGAGCGCGAGACTTTGTATCGGAAATTCTAAAGATATGCTGTTTTTAAATATTTTTTTTTTTTTTTTTATATTGCCGTTGAATTGAATTGAATTTTTTGATTCAAGTGCGAAGAATATGATATTTAATGAAAACACATAAAACGTTACTTCCTTAAGAAATACAAAGAAGAACATTAAAAAATGAGTGAATAAGTGATAAAAATGTGTCAGATATGATCAAGAAGTGCCGCTGTTTTCTTTGCATGTTGATGAAAGTATTGGCTAGACTGACTGTAACTTTTTATACGCATAACTACAATTATTCTATAATATGGCTATAACTATTCTCTAATTTTCCTAGCTTTTTCGTCAAATTATTATCTTACTGGTATAAATCATATCAAAAGCGTATTTTCGTTGCTTTGATATAAAAAGATTATATATAGTAGCTCTATTTAAAGATAAATATAGTAAAAGATATATATAAAAAGATAAAAATATAAATATAAAAAGAAAGATATATATATAGTAGCTCTATTTGCATTTTGATCTTTAGCGAAAATGTTTCAATAGTTCAGATTTCCAGAGGGGTACAAAACTCATTCTCATTTCAAAACTGAGATTCGTTTTTACATTTCAAATTTTTAAATTTTTATTCTTTTTCTTTGTGGAGGGGAGGGGAGGATAAATGTTCCTGCTTTTTCCTTAGATTTCTCTATCATGCTCCTGTGTTAAGACGATGCTTTTTTTAAACTTAATTTTCTTATATAATATTGTTGAGTCCTCAGGTTATTTTGAACCAGGAGACGTGAAAATGAGCAATGCTGTCGCCGGGACTCAAACCTCGAGCTCTCGAATACTCGCCGAGTGTGCTACCGTTACACCACGAAGGCATGCAGAAAGGAGGGAGGAAATACCTTATATACTCCCTCTTTTAACAGTCGACTGGGGGTTACGGGACCGAGTCGCCAAATCCTGGTGGTGAAGAATCATCATCCACCATATTTTTTAGTTCGGGCGCCACTGTAGAGTCATTAGGTTATTTTGAAGCAGGAGAGGTAACAAATGACATGCAACGTCCTCGCCCGGACTCGAACCTGGACGTCTCGAATACGCTTCGAGTGTGCCATTGTTACACCACGAAGGCATTGCAGAGAGGGGGGGGAGGAAATATCTTATAATATTGCCAAAACTTTTTGCTCTGCTACCGTGTTAAGACGAATTTTTTTTTTTTTTTTTTCAATAAAAATTGATTTTCTTATATAGTATTGCTATGAATTTTTGCTACTTTCAAGACTTCGTTCTCTAATTAATTATTTATTCGCCTAAATTTCAGCATGTCTAAAAGGCTTATTCCACTTTGAGATAATCAGAATTGTTCCCAGCAACATTCTTTATCGTATTAACTTATTAAAGAAAGACGTACGGTCTGCAGAATGATGTAGTTTGCACATTTTTTGAGAAATCAGCTATCGTCACCAACATCATCCTCGTTCAAAATTTTTCCTGTTGTTAAAAATTATTATTAGAACTGTATATTAATTGTGTGTAATGTATTTTATTT